TGACGACTGCATGTGTTTCGCTAATCGCAACTCAACCTACGGTTAAAAGCTTTTTCTCTCATATACAGTTACTGTAGCGATTAGTCATCCGCCGCTCAAGTTCTCAGCATCTTATCTTTTGGCGGATCAGTGAGCAATGCTGCATTATAACGCTTCAGAATAATCTTTCTCTTTAGATTATGCTTACATACTTCATCATAAAATTCGGTATAAAAGGAGGTCGACTGGATGAGTGGGGCCGAGTCTGTTGGAGCCGTTCGAGACGACCAGGACGATCGACATCGAGTCGCGAAGCTGGTGAGCACTCGATACATCGAGATTTCGCCCAATCAGTTTGTGAGCCGTGATAAAATATTAGTAGAATCTTGAGTTCTGTACCTCCAGAAGCATGGCCAGTGACTGCTATCGGTCACTGCAAGGCGAGCAAGATATCAAGAGCTATCAAAGGCACAAGAGTCCAAGACAGTTCTTGAACCTTGTAATGTCACGGCACAGAAGCCATTGAGCTGAGAGCATAAGAGTCGCCCTGGTGGCGTGGTGGATAGCGCACTCGCCCGATCAACGCCGAGGTGGGATCTTATTCCGCGTGAAGCTAATTTTTGCCCATAACTCATTTTGCAGCTTAAAAACACGAGGAAGTCGCCGCCCGCTCGCGACCGAAGCACCCCTTTCTCCAGCCCCTGACCAGGGGGACGCCCAACCTCAATTTTTAAGTGCTACCTGATGCTGCGGAACATTCCGCTACCAACGCTTTCCTTCTCGAGCGGCATTTTTAAGCGAGATTGAAGTGATTAGGGGAAAGAGCCGCCATTAGCAAGTGAGAACTCGGTCGATCACACCTTTTCTTGACCTTATGCACATACTTACTCATAACCTCTTATCAGTGATTATTACCAATCACCAGCTATCAGTGTTCCTGTCCTATACACCCTTTCCCCCCTGTTACTTGCTATCACCAACGCCCATTGTTGCAGCTCCGTGCGATATAAATCCAGTGGCGCTTCTTTACTACATGTCTTGCTCAGGGCAAGTTAACCAAGGTTCATTCATCATTTTCCACCTTGCACTTACGTTTTCATCATGAGCTCGGGAACATCAGAGGGGAAAGGGGTAATTGCAGGTATGGGAACAACTTTATAGCCTTAAACCATTTATATTCATTCCACAACAAACAAATCAAAACAACAGACGAACAGAGTGCTTCATTCTGCAACCGTGCGAAAGTTTCT